ATAATATGGTCCCCACAATATAATGTATGGTTAACAGTGCTTGAGAGTGTGCAGAGAAAGTTTTTAAAAAGTATGTATTTCAGAAAGCACGGTGCCTATCCACCGATTGGATATGACAACTCTCAACTCTTGAGAGAATTTAATAGATTAAGTTTGGAACATAGACGAATTAAAATAGTGCTTTGCATGATGTTTAAGTTATTGAAAGGAAATATAGATAGTCCTGATATTCTGAGCCAGTTGCCTTTTGCTATTCATCGTATTAACTCGCGTAATTCGAAAGTATTTTACCTGGCGTATCTGAGAGTTAATCTTTATAAAAACTCCCCTATATACAGAATGTGCAATGTTTTCAACTTGTACGCTTGTGACATTGACATTGATGTCATTTGTTACAATCAGTTTAAACAACTTATTCTGTCCAAACTAAAAGAAGAATAGTATTTAGGTGTTTTAATTGTATTATTTGTATGTTTATTGTTAGGATTAGGTATATTTAACATTTTAATATTATAGCATGACACATACTATTACTTAACTATTATTATTGGATAAGTGGATATCTGTAATTGGCTTAAGCTGTTGATATCTTTGAATAAATAAATAAATAAATAAATAAATAAATTGAAGATACAGTTTCCCTCATTTCAAATTTTTCCTGGAAAACTAGTAAGAGAAAATTTTGAATCTTTTTGTATGTAAAGAGGAAAGTGAGAAGCTCATTTTCCCAAAATTTTAAATTTTTTCAGTGGAAAACAACAACATGAAAAATCTTGGAAATCAACCTACACAAACTGAATTAGTTGAAAATACAGTCTCACACATTTTTAAGTTTTCCTGAAAAACTAATGAAAGGAAAATTTTGAAACTTTTTGTATGTAAAGAGAAAGGTGAGAAGATCATTTTCCCAAAATATCAAATTTTTCCACTGGAAAACAGCAACATAAAAAATCTTGGAAATCAACCTACAAAAACTGAATTAGTTGAAAATACAGTTTCACACATTTCAAAGTTTTGCTGGAAAACTAGTGAAGGAAGAAATTTGAAACTTTTTACATGTAAAGAGAAAGGTTAGAAGCTCATTTTCCCAAAATTTCAAATTTTTCCAGGGGAAAATCACCTCGAAAATAACAACAGGGAGAATCTTGGAAATTAACCTACAAAAACTGAATTAATTGAAAATACAGTCTCTCACATTTCAAAGTTTTCCTGGAAAACTAGTGAAGGAAGAAATTTGAAACTTTTTACATGTAAAGAGAAAGGTTAGAAGCTCATTTTCCCAAAATGTCAAATTTTTCCAGTGGTAAATAACAACATGAAAAATCTTGGAAATCAAGTTACAAAAACTGAATTAATTAAAAATACTGTCTCACATATTTCAAATTTTTCCTGGAAAACTAGTAAGAGAAAAATTTGAAACTTTTTGCATGTAAAAGAGGAAGGTGAGAAGATCATTTTCCCAAAATATCAAATTTTTCCAGTGGAAAACAGCAACATGAAAAATCTTGGAAATCAACCTACAAAACCTGAATTAGTTGAAAATACAGTTTCACACATTTCATAGTTTTCCTGGTAAACTAGTGAAGGGAAAATTTGGAAACTTTTTGCATGTAAAGAGGAAGCTGAAAAGCCGATTTTCCCAAAATTTCAAATTTTTCCAGTGGAAAATAATAACATGAGGAATATTGGAAATCAACCTTCAATAACTGAATAAATTGAAAATACAGTTTTCCTCATTTCAAAGTTTTCCTGGTAAACTAGTGAAGAGAAAATTTTTAATCTTCTTGTATGTAAAGAGGAAAGTGAGAAGCACATTTTCCCAAAATTTTAAATTTTTTCAGTGGAAAACAGCAACATGAAAAATCTTGGAAATCAACCTACACAATCTGAATTAGTTGAAAATACAGTCTCACACATTTCAAAGTTTTCCTGAAAAACTAATGAAAGGACAATTTTAAAACTTTTTGCATGTAAAGAGGAAGCTGAGAAGCTCATTTTCCCAAAATTTCAAATTTTTCCAGTGGAAAAGAGCAACATAAAAAATCTTGGAAATCAACCTGCAAAAACTGAATTAAGTAGTTGAAAATACAGTTTCACACGTTTCAAAGTTTTCCTGGAAAACTAGTGAAGGAAGAAATTTGAAACTTTTTACATGTAAAGAAAAAGGTTAGAAGCTCATTTTCCCAAAATTTCAAATTTTTCCAGGGGTAAATAACAACATGAAAAATCTTGGAAATCAACTTACAAAAACTGAATTAATTAAAAATACTGTCTCACATATTTCAAATTTTTCCTGGAAAACTAGTTAGAGAAAAATTTGAAACTTTTTGCATGTAAAAGAGGAAGGTGAGAAGATCATTTTCCCAAAATACCAAATTTTTCCAGTGGAAAACAGCAACATGAAAAATCTTGGAAATCAACCTACACAAACTGAATTAGTTGAAAATACAGTCTCACACATTTCAAAGTTTTCCTGGAAAACTAGTGAAGGGAAAATGTTGAAACTTTTTGTATATAAAGAGGAAGGTGAGAACATCATTTTCCCAAAATATCAAATTTTTCCAGTAGAAAACAGCAACATGAAAAATCTTGGAAATCAACCTACAAAACCTGAATTAGTTGAAAATACAGTTTCTCACATTTCAAAGTTTTCCTGGTAAACCAGTGAAGGGAAAATTTGGAAACTTTTTGCATGTAAAGAGGAAGCTGAAAAGGTCATTTTCCCAAAATTTCTAGTGGAAAATAACACCATAAGAAATATTGGAAATCAACCTACAATAACTGAATTAATTGAAAATACAGTCTCACATATTTCAAAATTTTCCTAGAAAACTAGTGAAGGGAGAAATTTGAAATTTTTTGCAAGTGAAGGTTAGAAGCTCATTTTCCCAGAATTTCAAATTTTTCAAGTAGAAAATTACAAATGAGGAATCTTGGAAATCAATCAACAATAACTAAATTAACTGAAAATACAGTCTCACACATTTCAAAGTTTTCCTGGAAAACTAGTGAAAGAAAAATTTTGAAACTTTTTGCATGTAAAGAGGAAGCTGAGAAGCTGATTTTCCCAAAATTTCAAATTTTTCCAGTGAAAAATAACAACATAAGGAATATTGGAAATCAACCTAAAATAACTGAATTAATTGAAAATACAGTCTCACACATTTCAAAGTTTTCCTGGAAAACTAGTGAAAGAAAAATTTTGAAACTTTTTGCATGTAAAGAGGAAGCTGAGAAGCTCATTTTCCCAAAATTTCAAATTTTTCCAGTAGAAAACAGCAACATGGAAAATCTTGGAAATCAGCCTACAAAAACTGTATTCCTTATTTTTTTGAATTTTTTAAATTTTAGACTTGTAAATCATGTAAGTAGTGTAATTTTGGGAGGATTTCTTTAATAAAAATGAATATCCAACTTCCAACACAAAACTAGATTTTTTTTTTAAATTTCCATTTATTACTATATCTTATAATAAGAATGTGAATCTCAGTAACGTCATGACCCTACAATTTCCTTTAAATTCCTCATAAATTCCTCACAAATTCTCCCAAATTCCCCATAAATTCCTCGAAATTCTCTATAAATTACCCAAATTCTCATAAATTCGGATGAGTTCCTTCAAACTCCCTACAAATTCTTCTGAATTTGCCACAAATTCCTCTAAATTCTCCACATTTTTGGCAAAGAATTCCTAGGTGGTTCGCCCCTTGGAAATTGCTTAGATAATCTGAAGGTTCTTTATAGGATGTAATTTCCAATCATGAGCTATGCTACAGTAAAAAGAATTCAAATAATTTGCTCTGAGCTGTGAGGAAACCATGAACGAATTTCTACCTCTAAACTTATTAACAAGTTTCTTGAAGTTTCCATGATTCTCTATTTCTATTGCAAGACTGTTCAATTTGATTTCCATAGTACAAGTAACCTTTTTGCCACATTAACCACCCTTCTGTAAGTTTTACAGTATATTTTGTAATAGTTAATAAACATTTCATGTATTGCATAGATCTTAAGTTAGCAGCCGATATTCTCAGATCCCTTGTGTACCAGGGATTGAGCCTCTTATGCTTTATCTTGATAATAGGACAAGAAATGTTGAAGTTATTGCTTAAAAGTAGATGAAAGTGCTCCAAAGAGCCTTCAGTTGAAAATATTCTATTCCAGTCCATTTGATTGCATAGCAACCCAAACTTCCTATAATTTTTCTTAGTGAAAAGTCTGCCTTGTTTGAATATTTTTCTTGGTTTAGTGGAATAGACTGGAAATTAATAGAATATCGCATTAAGCATTTATTGTCGCACACAGACTTTCCATCTGACCAAATAATGAGCAGACTCAGACATAATCTATTAATGTAGAGGTAGAAGGGTTTATTCTTGTTGGTTTGGTATCGTGCAGTAAGAACTTGAAATATTTTTCAGAAACTCAACAAGTAACAAGTCTGCTCTAGACAGATGTAATATTGGCACCTTATATTTCCATAAAATATGCAATCAAAAAATCTCCCTACTCAAATTCAATGTGACTCTGTACTCTGTGTATCAGAATAATGAGTTATTGTCAACTTCCAGATTTAATAAAATATTTCCCATAGATTCCTCATTTATACTGTCCCTAAAGCTTTCAATATATTGCCAATGGAGACCAAAGGAATACAATTAAGAAGTACAAAAATGCAAAAGTATCAAAAGAATATATTTTTCTGGATTTGATAGCATTTATTAAAATTTTGAATCAGTAGTAGATAGCAACCTACACCTATTGATTTTTTTCTTTCTAGGAAATTCCTTGTATATTATTGCTTGTATTTCTTGCTGAGAGAACTCAGGCAGTTGGGTATTTCAGTGTTGTGTCTTTGATGTTCCTTCCTTCCTCCTTTCTTTTTTTTGTTCTTCATATTGAATATTTATATACCCATTATATATCTTGACAGTTTAGCGAATAAATAAATAAATTAAAAAGCACTTTCATATTTGATTGATTTGATTTATCTCTTTCAGGCTGAAAAAATTCCAAATTGTTGTGTCCATTTAGGAGACAGGCCTATAGGTATAACAATGAGAAGGGCCTTATCCAGATTGTCCTGGTTCCAGACCATAAAATTGGCCTGGCATTTGTTGACCAGCAAAGATCCAATCAGGTAATTTTTTTTTTTTTTAAACAAATCATATTTTATTCAATCAAAATTCACAATCTGCAATATTATATTTGATTAATTCTTTATAGAATTGTAATCACTGGAAACTAGGAACAAAATATTACTAAGCAAGTTCAGGATTTTTGAGCTTGAGATGATTGAGATACTTTCTAAATTATTTTGAGCTAGTGTTTCCCAATTTACAAAGTTCAGGAATTTTAAAAATGATTTTAGATACTTTTAAATCAGCACTTAGCATTTTTAAAATAACTTTGAATACGATAAACAAGAAGATCCCTATGTGTATTTTAACAAGACAAATTCTCACTATGTTTTATGTTGTTGATTTATAGATGATCTCAGCTAAATAATCATACAGCACTTTTTTAAATTTAGGAAACTTTCTCATTGTAACTTGTATGGGTAATTTATGATATTCTTTTGAAGCCAGTTAAATGAATTATTGAGTCCTCTTTTATTTCTGGTAATAAGAAAATGGACACAAATTTTAAATTAACTTTTTGGCTTCTGTTTTCCAGTGTTGAAGAAATCGAAAGATGTAAAAACCGTGACATTCTCGAGCAGCTATTGTCCGATTTGGCCGGCGAATATCCGGCTTTTAGGGAAGTATTTTTGGACGAAAGAGACATTTATTTGACCAGTTCTCTACAAGGAGCAGCTAAAATTGGGCCTCCACTAAAACCAGGTAATTTTATCTACAGAGTTTTCTAAAATATTTAGGGTTTCAAAACTACTTTTTATAATCAATTATTATTGTTCATATTTTCAAACATTATTAGGTGAAATAGCAGAAGAGCCTGTAAAAATCGTCGGCGTTGTCGGCATAGGCCATACTCCAGGCATCATAAGACTTTGGCCTAACGAACAACGCCAATTCGTTCCTGCCATAATGACAGTGCCTCCTCCGACTCTCACATCGAAACTTATGAAAATCTCTTTTAAATTGTCCCTTATAGGCTTAGGAGGTTATATTGTTTATAGATATATGCCTGTATACAAGTACGTGCCCGTACCGAGAGTCCTCAGGGAAAAAGTTTTGTTGTTTGTACATAAAATTGCTAGTGGTGTGAAAACTAGTCCAGGAATTAAATACTCCTTAAATTAAGGGTTAAATTAGATGTTTTAAGAAAACAATCTTGAAGACTGCTGCTTAAATTGTTGTGTCTTCCATTTATTATTGTTATTGTTTTAAGCTTATAATAGTTAGTTACCCGATCAGATTTGTGCATAAACTTACCTTACATTCCTGTTTATTATAAAATAATGTTTTTTTTTTTTTTTAATTTGGAGTGGGTATATTTTAACTTAGTTTTTACACGGGAACCCAAACTATTTTTTGATATGTTCTATTTCTCAAAATGTCTGGCACATCTACAATAAGTTAATTTAAAATTGTATGATAAAGGAATATTTTAAATATAATTTATCTGAAAATAATTAAAATCTCCACTAGTAATTTTTTCCCATCTGTGTGATTTATCATTTTCTTCTTAGTAATAAAATATGTATTCCAAATAAAACAATTTCAGGATAAACCGAGGGGTGGTTAACTGATCAAAATTTGTGTAAAAGTTGATCAAAATCCCAGAAAATCTCATAAGATCTACTCAAAATCCCTAAAAATCTTTAAAATCCTTGAAAATTTAACAAAATCTCTTGAAATTGCATAAAATCCTATAAAATCTAACATAATTTCATTAAAACCAAAAAAATCCTGCAAAATCTCATAAAATCATTAACATTCCTAAAAAATATTTCCTTTGATATTCCTAAAAATCCTTTGGAATCCCCAAAAATCTGTTAAAGTCTCTCAGAATTCCATAATTTAGTGGAATTTCAAGGAAATTTGGTAGAATTATGTTATTCTGTAAAAGGAATTACATGTGAAATTTTTGCGGAGTTTCCATAGAATTCACATTAAATTTTAGTTCCTCTCGAATTACATGAAATTTCAGTGAAATTCCGATCGAATTACACGAAATCCTAAATGAATTGCATGGAGGAATTTTATAAATTGTAAACAATTATATGAAATTACACCGAAATTCCCAACATGAAATTTCAGTTCTTACTGAATTTTAGTAAAATTCCAGAAAATTCCACAAGTGGAATGCCGAGGAATTTTCGGCTAAAAACATGGAATTTCGGTGATATTCCGAAAAATTCCCATGTAATGACATGAAATTTCAATATATTTCGGTGAATTTTGAAGAAATTACTTGAATTCTCATAGATATTCCCAGAAATTCCTGGCTATTAAAACAGAATTTCAGTGAAATTCCAAAAAATTCTTATGAAAATAAATGAAATTTTAAAAAATTCCTTGAAGTTTCATTAGACTTTCGAGAAATCTTCGGCTATGAACGTGGAATTTTAAAATATTCTCATAAAATTTTATTGAATTGAATTCCGAGGATTTTTTAAGAAATGACATGAAATGACAATGAAAATCCAAAAAAAAAATTGAAAGTTTTGTGCAACTCCAGGATATTTCAGTAGTGAAATTTTGGGGAATTTCAATAAAGTTAAAAAAAAAATTATGGAATTTTGAAATTGAAATTTTAGTGGAATTCCCAGGAATTTCATGAAATCCTATACTGTAATTCCGAAAAAATTTTACCTAAGAATTCCATACAATTTTCTGGTGAAATGTTAAGGAATTTCTATGGAATTACTTAAAATTTTCGCGGAATTCCTATGGAATAACTTGAAATTTTAGTCGAATTCCGAAGAATTTCATAGTGTAATTCCGAGGAGTTTTTGTTCAAGAATTCCATTGAATTTTATAGTGGAATTCCATGAAATCTTATGGTGAAATTTGGAAAAATATCATGAAATCTTATAGTAAAATTTTTAGGAATTTCCGTTTTTCCATTCAAATTTACGATTTGAATGGAATTTTGAGGAATTCCATAAAATCTTCTGGTGATATTCTGAGAAATTTCTATGAAATTATTAAAAATGTTCACAGAATTCCCATGGAATAGCTTGAAATTTTAATGGAATTCCGAAGAATTTCATGAAATCTCATAGTGTAATTCCGTGAAATTTTTGTGCAAGAATTTCATTAAATTTTATGGTGAAATTCCATAGAATCTTATGATGGAATTCGGAAAAGTATTATAAAATCTTATAGTAAAATTTCTAGGAAATTACGTTTTTCCATTCAAATTTATTACTTAAATGGAATTTCGAGGAATTCAGTAAAATCTTCTGGTAAAATTCTAAGAAATTTTCATGGAATTGACTAAAATTTTCGCGGAATTTCCATGGAATAACTTGAAATTTTAGTGCAACTTTTCATGAAATCTAATACATAATATTGTAATTCCGAAGAAAAAAAAAATCCAAGAATTCCATTGAATTTTATGGTGTGAAATCTGACATGTGAAATTTTTGCGGAGTTTCCATAGAATTCACATTAAATTTTAGTTCCTCTCGAATTACATGAAATTTTGAGAAACAATTACATATGGAATTACACCGAAATTCCCAACATGAAATTTCAGTGCTCATTAAATTACATAAATAAATCTAATCAAAACCTGTGTACAAGTCCAGAAAAACTTGTAAGATATATTCAAAATCCCTGAAAATCTTTAAAAATTTAACAAAAAATCCCTTAAAAATCACTTGAAATTGCATAAAATTTCATAAAATCACACAAAATTTTATTAGAACTTAGAACAAAAAAAATCCGACAAATTCTTATAAAATCATTGACATATTCCTAAAAAAAACCAGAAGTCAAATTTTTGACATAACGCTTGCTAGACAAATAACTACCTAATTAATGATTGTCATTGTCATTAATTGTCATTTCGAACCATGAATTCATTTATAAATCTTTACATTTTTTCAGGTTTTAATATCATTTTTCGGGGATAATACAACATAATACCACGAGAGCTTCAAAATTACAGATAATTTTTCACGATTCTAGGAAGTTTTATGTCAGAAATTTGACATCTAATTTTTTTCAAAAATGTCCCAATGGAACATATTGACATTTTTGAGATTATATAAAGCAAAATGAGCTCTACCCAATCAATGAAAAAAAAAAGATGGCGTTCCCATTCAAAAAAATAGATCAATGACGTCATATCTTTGAGAGGAATTTTTTTTTCCTATATCTCTGTGTAACTTTTCCCTACACGTCTTCTTATACCTATTTCCAAAATTTCATCAAATTCCATCGAGCCGTTTTCTCAGAAAAATGCCAACACACACACACACACACACAGACGGAAATGTGCCACCTTGCCAAAAAGGCTTAAAATGATCCAAAACGTCAAGATTTAATGAAATTTTGACATGGTCGAAATCGACCTATCACCATAGCTTCCTATCTAGGAAGCTAAAAATTCCTTCAAAATTTCCAAAAATCCTTTTGGAATCCTCAAAAATCCGTTAAATGTCTAAAAATCCGTTAGGATCTCTAATGGCTGTTTCCACCAACTATTTTAGGCTCGATTTTAGGGAAGCTTCAACAATAAGTAGGTATTCCTTAAAATGACAGTCTTCTATGGAGAAATTGTCAGTTTAAAAATACTTATCGTTAAGACTCTCCTAAATTAATTGGTAAAAAACGCCATAAAAACCAAATCTCATAAATCTAAAATATTTTAAAATCCTGTAAAATCACGTGAAGATTTCCAAAATCCTCAAAGTCCTACAAAACCAATAAAGATTTAATTATTATGTGCACATTTTATGGAGTTAACTGAACTTCAAGCGGTTAATTGATAAAAATTTGTATACAAGTTGATCAAAATCCCAGAAAAACTCATAAGATCTACTTGAAATGCCTGAACATTTTTAAAATCTTTAAAAATGTAACAAAATTTTATTAGAACAAAAAAAATTTGACAAAATCCTATAAAATCCTTAATAGAAAAATTGCTTTAACATTTCCAAAAATCCTTTGGAATCCCCAAAACTCCGTTAAAATCTCTAAAAATTCTTTAGGATCTCTAAAAACCTTTCTAACTTCCCTAAAATACTCCAAAACCACCTAAAATCTTTTGAAATCATGTGAAGATTTTCAAAGTCCTCAAAATCCTACAAAATCAATGAAGATTTAAAATCTGTGTACATATTTTAAGAAGTTAACCACTTCTCGGGAAAAACAATATAAAATGAAATTGTTGGTCATGAGGAACTGTGGAATGCTTGAAAAAAAGACTAGTTTGCTTCTTACATGTTCAGATCTGTTTTAAAATTACATAGTTTGGGTAAATTATACCTATACTATAAACAATCAGTATTTTAAATCACAGTTATCATTATTATCATATTGACTAGCTAATATTTGCTGCACATCTAAATCCTAAATTCCCTGCTGAACTGTCTTTTGTATTAAAAGATCTGGCTGCGCATCTGTACCTCCAACAGTAGGATTCATGGCACAGGAAAGATCCTCCTTTTTTTACTTTAGAATTCTGAACCAAAACATAATATGTCAGTTTTTATCTCATGTTATCCCAAATGAATTTAATTATTACCTCTGGATCACTTTGCCAGCCATCTTGTACCCATTCCCATACATTCCCAACCATATTATACAAACCAAACTTATTTGGAGGAAATTTGTCTACAGGACAAGTGAAAATAAAACCGTCTTCAAGTGTATTGACTTTGGGAAATTCGCCTTGCCAAATATTAGTCCTGAAAAAAGTAGTTTTTTATTCAATTTTTGCTAGAATAATAATGGGCTCTTTCACTAATTTTTGAAATTGGCATATTTGGATAAAACAACTAAAAACAGAATTTTCTGTATTTATACTTTTGAAAAATTCATAGTCCTTCTTGAGAAAACAGAAAAATAAGAAATATCTCCAAATAAAAACCCAGAATTTATTTCTATGACGTCGCAGAGAAATTTAGTGTTCATTTTAGGAACGTAGCTCCGCTCCTCTGTCAGAGCATTTTAACAAAAAGTCAACTGTCAACTTTAAAAAAGAATAACAGAACCTGATTTAAGAAAAACAAGAAATGTGACTGGTTTTCAAAAAGCTATTTGTTACTGTTAATTTGAGAGTAAATGTTAAACCAATCACTTAAAACATTCCTTTTATTGAACAACAAAACACAACAAACATAAACATCGCATTTTTTTTTTACGTTGCACTACATTCAGTCACAACTGACAACAGCGCATTCGAACCTTGCTGTGCTTTTACAGAGCGCAACCAACACCGCAACACAGCCGAGCCAATCTTCTTGCAACAACATGAGCGAAATGGAAAATATTTATGTGACGTCAGCGAATCGGCGCGTTTTAAATGATTTTGAATTTCGCGAGATTCAAATGCCTGTGAAAAACTTATTTAACCTTGTAGAAATTTTTTTTTTGGTATATATGCCTAAAAGAGTCCCTCCTTTGGGATTTTATACCTAAATTACGTATTTAAATTTTAGTGAAAGAGCCCATTATTCTTACCAATGTTGTCCTTTGGGATTCAATTTATTCCCCCAAGGATACAATTTTTGTTTTAAGCCTCCTCTACAGGCCATTTCCCACTCAGCCTCTGTTGGAAGCCTTTTGCCAAAATGCTCACAATAAGCCACAGCGTCGTTCCATGAAACGTGAGTAACTGGATGATTCATTCTACCTAAATCATTACTTTTATAGATTAATAATGAATATAAATTCCAAGGGGTTTTTCACCTTGTTAATCGATGTACAAATCACTGGTTAATATATGTCAATACCAGGTAAATACTATATCAATAGTGTCAATACTATGTAATACCTACTTGTTAATTATGTAGGTAATGTCAATACTTGTAGATATCTAGGCAATATATGTTAATGTCATTGGTTGATACCCATTAATAACATGTAAATACCTGTGGATATATCAATACCTAGAATTCTGGCAAGACAAATATTTGATTTTAGTCTGTCAATAGCAGTGGCGTAGCCAGGATTTTGTCTTGGGGGGGGGCAAATTTGCAGGAAGCGTCTTTTGCGGCCCTACCGCGACCGCTGCCGGAGGCTTAGCGCCGCAGGCGCGAAATTTTTGGGTACCACGCCCCTTTTTCAGGTTTCTTTACGCTATTTTTGGGACTGTTTATCTTAATTTTGAAGAAATATTCATAAAATGTAAGGGTCTTGGGGGGGGCAAATGCCCCCTTGCCTCCCCCCTGGCTACGCCAGTGGTCAATAGCATGGAAATACCTGGTAATATGTGATAATACTAGGGAAATATCTGGGCAATATGTGGAAATATTTTGTTAATACATGGAAATAGTTGGCAATAACTTGTTATTAGATACATAGAAATATTTGTTAATACATGGAAATATCTCAGTATTGTTAATTTGTGTACAAATTTTGTTAAGTGAAAAACCCCTCGATAAATTCTATTGATTACCTTCAATTGTTGATCCAGGTCCTTCAGGGTGCTTCCAGGTAACCCCTTTCAATTTAATCCACCACGGTGCCTGTGCCGCTCTAATATCTTGGTATTTATCTCTTTCGCTTTCAGCCAAAGACATTTCAAATAGGAAACTATCGCCAAAGCCTTCAGCTTCGGTTTCGTAGCCAGTTTCCTTAACGAAATCGTAAAAGTTTCGATTTGAGACTTCATATAAGTCCAAATAAAAGTCTTTTTCAATTGTAATGTTGCGAGAGGGGCCTTCAAAGTCTGCTTGGAATACTGGCTTGTTTGTGCCCATTTCAAAGGTGGATTTTTTAATTAGAACCATTTCGCTGGTTTTATCAGGGTTCAGACTCTGTGAGTACTTTTTGCTGTGATGGTTTATTTCATTCTCACTGGAATCTTCTGTAGAGGGGCACTTTTCTGAGTCTTTGCACTGACCGTTACGGTTTAGGCTGCATCCACAATCGGAGGAGATCAGAGTTGCTGAATAGAGGATTATTAAAAGGGGTATTAATGGGATTTTGAACATTTTTTATAGGAATGGACCAAGAAAAATAAATAAACAAACAACTACACATATGTTAAATTGAGGTTAGGTTAGTAGGTGTTTTCTTTAAAACAACCACGGAGCAAAAAAAAATGTCGAATATTTAGCAGCGTTCTTTTTAAGAACCAGAAACTCCGGAGCGATTCGTTCGGAGTCATATGGAGTAGAACGTAGCTACTCTATTTACGCTGAATTTCATGCGTGAATAATAATTGAAGTGCCAATGGAGTACTTTATGGTGCAGGGAGCGAGCAGCAAGATTAGCTGTGATTACACTTTGACTCTAATATAATGTCCGCATTTGCATTATCATTATAGTTAACTTTATGAAAATTCTCAATCGCAATTAAAATATTTGAAATTCAACGCAAATTAAACAAGCTCTAGAGCTATTTGTTCGGAGTCATTCTGAGTAACTCCCAACAAGAACGCTCCAGAGCTATTTTTTAGAAGTCATTCAGAAAAAGAACGCTTATTTTTTAATTTATTTGTTACATTTTTGATATTGGCCCTGTTCGGGTTCGAAAAAGGACGGTTCTGGAACGGTTTAAAAGTATACAGTTTAATTTGTGATAGCTTAGCCGTTGTCATTTTTATTAGCCCTGTTCGGGTATAAAAAAAAGGACGGTTCTAGAACAGTTCAATCGCACAATTTATCCAACAAAAATGACAACAGCTCGGCTATCAAAAATGTACTGTGCTATTTTTTGAACCGTTCTAGAATCGTCCTTTTTCCAAACCCGAACAGGGTCATTGATTGATAAGCTGTACGATTGTTTTGAACCGTCCTTTTATCAAACCCGAACGGGGCAATTGACCTTTTGCTTGGACGCCATATTGCGGTGCGCGAACATAAAGTCTGTTTTTTTTTTTTTAAAGATAATTCCCCAAGTCAAAAATTTAGTAACTTTGTTGGCAACACAAGCCTTAGCCGCTTTCCAGTATGGGAGTGTGACGCCCGGAGTTACTCGGGGCGTGGAGCCCCCGAGCTGTACGTACGCTTCAACCTATCAGCTGTCACTTCTGTGGGTGGCTATTTATCTATTTATTTCTTGTTATATCTCAAGATTGAACATTTTAAAATATATAGTTTTGATTCTCTTTCATTTTTGATAAATAAAAAAACAAACTGCACAAACAAACAGATAATTATTTTTAAAATTTGACATATTTGACACTAAGACAGGCGTCTCACGCCATGATACTGGAACGGTACAAATCTAGTGCGTGGCGCGTTGCGCCCCCGAGGTGCTCTGGAGCGCGCCAGAGCGCGCCAATGTGCATACTGGAAAGCGGCTCTTTTCTACACAAAAAATTTGAAAGCTTTGACAATTTTACATTGCATTGCCAACATAATGTCATTTTGACTTTTATCTTTAAAAAAAAAACAGATTTTAGTTGCCAAAAGAAGGAAACAAAATTATTAGCGGGCTGTCAACATTAAAAACCCAGAAGTCATTTATTTTAATTTGTCAAAAAAAATTAATGTGTCACATGAACTAATCTACGACAACCCTGTTTCTCCAAGTTGTGACGTGTTCGATAACAAAAGTATGAACCCTCGAGAAATGAACCTTAGATATTTTATTATTTCTAATCTGCCCAATACAAGCTAAAATTGATGGCTTTTCTTTTCAAAAACATTCGTAATAGGCGGCAAATTTGAATTTTAGATAAAATCTGTTTTTTTTTTAAAGATAAAAGTCAAAATGACATTACTTATGTTGGCAATACAATGTAAAATTGTCAGTGCTTTCAAATTTTTTATGTAGAAAAGGCTTGTACTGCCAACATAGTTACTAAATTTTTGATTTGGGGAATTATCTTTAAAAAAAAACAGACTTTATAATTTATTCAGTAACTTTTGTTTTTAATGTTGACAGTACGCTAGTAATTTTTTTTTCTACTTTTGGCAACCATGTTCGCGCACCGCAATATGGCGTAAGGTCAATTGACCTTTTGTTTGGACGCCATATTGCGGTGCGCGAACATAGTTGCCAAAACAAGAAAACAAAAAAAAACAAAAATTACTAGCGGGCTGTCAACATTAAAAACAAAAGTAACTAAATGATTGATATTGGTATGGGTTAAGATGGTAATATGATGGCTTTTCTTTTCAAAAACATTCGTAATAGCCGGCAAATTTACATTTTAAATGTAATTTATTCAGTAACTTTTGTTTTTAATGTTGACAGTACGCTAGTAATTTTTTTTCTTCTACTGTTGGCAACTATGTTCGCGCACCGCAATATGGCGTCCAAACAAAAGGTCAATTCATTCGCATGGACTCAAGTCCCAACCAGCAAAAAACGTATTTGGAACGAGTTCAGTTTGGATTGATCTGATACCATCGGGTTCACTTTTGATTTCAAGTAAACCGGCAGTGGTACAACACTCGAAACTCTGAACCACGTTCAACATTGAACGACGGTTCAACAGAACTTGTGTTGAACCATTCTTTGTACAACCGGGCCTTATTAGCTGAACTATATAAAACGAGAGTCACAAGAAGCTCCGGAGCTATTCATTCGGAGTAACTCATAAAAATATTTGCTCCATGTTTAATATTCGCATGGACTCAAAAACCTCAACCAGTAAAAGACGCATTTGTTCGGAAACAAGCTCAGTTCACTTTGGATTGATCTGATACGATCAGGTTCACTTTAGATTTGAGCCGAACTCTGGCCGAGTTCGTTTTTGTCATCTTTTTCGTCGATTTGCTCTGAAATTTTGACAGGCACGTGACTGGATAAGACAGTTTCAGTTTAAAAATCACGTGCCTGTCAAAATTTCGGAGCAAATCGACGAAAAAGATGACAAAAACGAACTCGGCCTCTATAAAATGAGATTTACAAGAGGCTCTGGAGCTATTCATGCCGAGTCATTCGGAGTAATTTATAAAAAGAACGCTTTTTGAAATTTAATTTGCTCCATGTTTAATATTTGCGGACTCGAAAGCCCCAACCAATAAAAGACATTTTTGTTCGGAAACGAGTTCAGTTCAGTTCGGATTTAATACGATCGGGTTCACTTTAGTGTCGTACGTTTTGAATCGGTTGAGAACTGATCCAGAATCACATTCCGGAATGATTTTCAACTGGGTTCTTTGAGATGCAAAATCCAGAGTCATTCGTTCGAAGTCACTCGGAGTGAGTAGCAACATTTCAAGTTGGAGTGAAGTTGGAACAGTTTTTTTGTCATATTTAGATCTAAAGATTACCAGAGAGAGAGCTCCTTATTCGAAGTAAGACATTTATTCCATTTACTCAACTTTGAATGTGAACGTGTTACGTGTTACTCTACACTAAAGAGCCGACCAAAACTAACACGAACAGTCGGAGTGAACAAGAGCCGCTTTCGGGTGCAGAGTGCGAAGTTACTAGAACACTTCACACCTGATATACTCCATGCGTTTTGCACCCGAACGCTTGAAACCGTTTTGTCCGGAGCGTGACGCAATCATAAAATGATAGGTGCTTCAGGGGTAAGAGGCGAGGAAATGAGAGCAGCTCGAGAGTGCCAAACTCTGTTCACCCGAACGGGTCAAACTAAAGCTGGAGTACTTCGGAGTAACTCGGGAGCGCTCAAAGGGTAGCACCTAAAAGCGGCTAAGGATTACTTAGAGTGCACAGAGTGAGCAATCCGAGCCAATCCAGTCATTAATTATTTTCTTACGTTTTGAATAGGTTGAGAATTGATCCAAAATCACATTCTGGACTGATTTTTAAATGCACTCGTTGAGATGCAAAATCCAGTGTCATTCGGAGTGAGTGGCAACATTTTGAGTTGAAGTAAAGTTAGAACAGTTTTTTTGTCATATTCAGTTTTAAGATTACTAGAGAGCGAACTCCTAATTCGAAGTAGACTTTTACTCCATTTACTCGACATTGAATGTCAACCTAAATTACTCTACACAAAAGAGCCGACCCAAACTATCCCAAACAGGGAGTAAACAAGGATTACTTAGAGTGTACAAAGTGAGCAATCCGAACCCATCCATTGATGAATTTAGTTTCCTACGTTTTGAATCCGTTGAGAGCTAATCCAAAATCACATTCCGAACTGATTTTCAACTGGTTCTTTTAGATGCAAAATCCAGTGTCATTTGTTCGGAGTCATTCGGAGTGAGAGGCAACATTTGAAGTTGGAGTAAAGTTAGAACAGTTTTTTTGTTGTATTCAGCTCTAAGATTACCAGATAGAGAGCTCCTTATTCGAAGTAAAACTTTTACTCCATGTACTCGACTTTGAATCTGAACGTAAATTACTCTACACCAGGGTTGCCAGATCTATGAAATGAAAAAGTGGGACTGTTCCTATCCAGAGGGAAAGGGCAAGTGCCCAATGTATCCCCCCCCCCTATAAACCCCCTTGAGCGAAAGTGACGTTTTCGGCTAAGGTGAAATATGACGAAAGTTGTTTATTTTCTAACGGTCATAGAAAAAATAATTTTTGACGAAAGTTGTTTATTTTTCAATGGCCACAAAAAAAGATTTTTGCAGATGCTAGTTTGTTTGTGCAATGAAAGATTTGGATTTTGTTTGAATTTTTGACATTTTTATACCTACAACAGACAACATTTATTATTAAAATCCAAGAATCGTAAACTAACAGGATTGCTCATCCTGAGAAGGCGTACGTTCGCCGGTTCTCGAGTCCACAAAGTCTGCGAGTGACGTCATCATGCCAGCAGCTAATGGTGGTGACGTCACCCGGAGACCTAGATGAAATGCTTGCGATTCATGCTCATTATTTGATTTTTGCGTCGATTTTGAATGTAGAAATAGCTATTTTTCTACTGACATTTCATAATACGCTATTAAACGATTAAAATCTGTATCGTAATGAACTTCATTATGATACAGATTTTCATTATAATACAGATTTTTAATATTATACAATGTCGATAGATGGCACCACCAGTTAAGATATTAAACATTTTTAACGGTAATTTTGCGTAAACCAATTATTTTGATAACTATAAAAAAGACTTCGAATTGTTTAAAAGTTACCTAAAGTTTGGGACAAAGAATAATTATT